GGGGATCTGGAGCCCTCCCTGGGCTTAACTGGGGATCTGGAGCCCTCCCTGGGCTTAACTGGGGATCTGGAGCCCTCCCTGGGCTTAACTGGGGATCTGGAGCCCTCCCTGGGCTTAACTGGGGATCTGGAGCCCTCCCTGGGCTTAACTGGGGATCTGGAGCCCTCCCTGGGCTTAACTGGGGATCTGGAGCCCTCCCTGGGCTTAACTGGGGATCTGGAGCCCTCCCTGGGCTTAACTGGGGATCACGAGCCCTCCCTGGGCTTAACTGGGGATCTGGAGCCCTCCCTGGGCTTAACTGGGGATCTGGAGCCCTCCCTGGGCTGGATTCAGGGACTGGGAAGCGCTTGCGAGGAGCTGGCACTGGAGGGTGCTGTGGAGGAGCAGGCACAGCAAGGCGCTTTCGAGGAGCTGGCACTGGAGCGAGCTCTGGGGATGGAGCCGAGCGCCTTCTCAGATTCCTTTCTAGGTTCGGGGTGAAAGGCGTGGTCGGCGGGCTTGAGTGAGCCGCGGCCGGCGGGCTTGACGGCGAGCTGGTTCTGGATTGGGGTTGGACGCTCTCCAGACACCAGAGGATCCCTTCCCTCCAGCTCAGTCCAGTGGTGTCTGGGAGGTCCACGGGGCGATGGTAGTTGGCCCTGATCCAGAACAGAGAGTTGAGCGTCACATCGTCTAACACCGTACTCGCGGCGATCCCGCAGTACTCCCTAGCATACTCCACAAACGGGAGATCCTGGTGAGCTAGGGCGGCAAACCACGTGGCAACTTCCATAGCCGTGGGGAGAAGCATTTTGTTTTTTCGTTCCGGTCTTCTGTCACAGATCAAGCCGGAGACAACAGGTAAGTGAATGAAAGGCAGGTTTATTGACAGGTATGGCAAAGGCAGATAGTCTGGAGCAAAGGCAGGTGAGAATTCAACAAAGTAAAGTCCAATAATTCTTAGCTGTGTATTGATGTTTGGTTCTTTGCAGGTTTGCGGAGAATACGGGATCCAGGAGCAGAAGAGAACAACGATGGAAGATCTTCGGAAAACTAGAGGTAAGAATAAACAGGTAAGTTGCATTCAGTGAGTCTGGTAATGTTCTGTGTAGTGAACGGTAGACCGGACGGTGAGTGATTGGAAGGAGCGTGGCGTGCTTATGAATGGTGCCTTGATTGCAGATGACAGGTGCGGGGAATCAGAACTCAGGTGATGGTGATCGTGACTGAGAACAGGTGTGAGCCGGGGAGGATTCTGGGACATGGAATCCAGAGCTGGTAATTGTGGTGATAATATTTTTTTAAAGTGCCCCTATTATGCCTTTTCGAATATTACCTTTCATGCAGTGTGTCATGTCGCTGTATGTGAACATAAACTATATGCAAAGTTGTGAAGCCGACGGTGCACGATAAATAAAGTTATTGTCTATCAAAAAAAAAAGTTGGCTCGCAATCGCCTAAACGAGTCGTCAGGAATTTGAATCTTATTCTGTTACGGCTCTACGTCACGAAGTAACACATTTGCATAATGTCTGCCCACGTTCTATGTCGTCAACTTGCCCGCCCACAAACAGTAATTTCGTTTCCAGAGCCAATCTCTCTACGGCTCTGGACCAATCACAAAGGACTGCGCCATTTGACCAATCACAACAGTGAGGGCTCATGGAAAGGAGGGGTTTGGAGAGACTGATTCTTTGAACTGCTTCGCACGAGTCGTTTACGAATCATTTAGAAATTATTATTTTTTGAGAAAACTAACGTGTTTTTTGATCTTGCATGCATGTAAACCTGTTTTAGGAGACTCATAAAACAATATTAGCAACCTTAAAAATGGCATAATAGGGGCACCTTAATAAACTGCCAAAATCCCAGGAATCAAACTAACATTACTTTTTATTAGGGGCCTTTCAGACAGAAAACATTATTTTTTTGCATTTAAATGCATTGGTTTTCTATTGGTTCCCTGATGTGCTCACATCACATTTTTTTTTGTGTGCTTTGTTTCAGTAGTTTCAGCATGTATAGTATTTTTTTAAAGGTTTAATAATGGCCTCTATGTTCTCTATGTCTGTCTTTCTCTCTCAGCGTGGGACCGGAAGGGTTGAAAGGTTTGCTGAGTGGAGGTTTGGGGGCCAGTCGAATATCCTCCCTGAGTTTGTGTTATTGTGGTTTGGGTTCATGGAGCGGAACTCTGCTAGCTTCACTCCTCACCAACAGTTCCGTGAGGTACAGATTGTTATGACCACTGATGCTTATGTTTCCCATTAACCTATGAATCTCTGTGACTCCTGGGATCCATCAGCTTCTGCAGAAACATTTCATCACATATTAATTCATGAATGTGAGCTTCAGCTGATGACTGCTTACAGCTGACGACATCTTACTGGGCCACAGGAGTTTCATGAGTGGACATGAGTTACAGGGCCCTCTCTTATGTGGACCTAAAGAAAGGCTATTTTGACAATCCAATATTAAATAATAATTTGACATACAGTACCAAGAATTTCTAGAAATGCCTCAGTCCTGCCATATTAGTTGCTCCACCTCTAAAGATTTAGTTCATTTAATGTAGTGTTGAGTGTAGTACACCAAAATATATTTTTTAAGCTATATTTTTGGCCTTTCTGTGATGGGAAAGTTAAGAGAGAGACAGGAAACAACAGGAGAAGAAAGAGGAGAATGGGATCTGGAAAAGGTTATGTGAGTGTTCAGGACTAGGCCAATTAAATAGATTGAGTTGAGTCCAGCCTAATTTACAGTGAACACTAGAGCTAATGTGGTTCAAGAGCTGCCAAGACTAATATATGACTTACTGTGGGGATGCTTCACAGTCGAGTCAGTCATGCAGATATGATAGCCTTCTGGCTAATTCTGGCACATTGTACATTTATGTATTATTGATGTGCATTGTCCCTGTCAAATAAACCTGAAATAAATAAATAAATAGATAAAACTCTAATGCTATTCCTTTATAGCAGTGGTTCCAAAAATATCCTTGGTTTCACAAGGAGACCAAAGAACTGAAATATATGACCCATAAAGGAAAACCGAAGGATTTGTGTGCAAATCTATTTGTGCGCATATCTTAACTTTGTATATTAGGGCATCTTCCTGGCATCTCACTCCTGTACTGGGCGTACACAGTGAAATTATATAAGGCAGCCACTTGAGTGGGCCATGCACCTACATTTTGGGATGCTGGAGGTACTCTGGGATCTGAAGTTGTCCTTATGTGAGGGGGAATATGTCTCTGAGACTTATAGAATAACTCTATCCGGTGAATTTTTGGGATGTGCATTTGCTGTAAAAAGCGTAAAATCGGGGGGAAATGTTTCATTAGGACCAGAGCAAGACCAACAACTTTCTAGTATATTTTCTATTAAAAAGGAAGTGTATTTATAAGAGACGATACAGCCAACAATTCACCACCATGTTTGCATAGCTGGTGATGTCTGTGTTCATCATCCCTACTGCTCACTGGCTTGTTATAGGCTGGCCTCTAGCCAGGAGAGTTTTATTTTTTTGGTTTTTAAATGTTTGCTTGATATCATGCTGGAATGTCAGATGGAACAAAAAAGGTTATCTAGGCAGGGCTACATGTAAATCCTACATGTCGCGCTGTCGCACAATAAGTGACATAATGGAGCACTCAAGACATGGGTTAGGTAACGTCTCAATGAGGTGGTCAATACCATGGCAGGAAGGAATTATTTCCATCCATGCTTTCCATCACACTAAAGCATGTGGATCATCTAACTGTGTCCACATTGAGCTTCAGTACTCCCAAGAAGAACAGTCCCAGTGAGGACAAAATGAGGCTATAAAATGTGTGTGAAGTTAATATTTCCAGGCACCCAGAAATTTGGAAGTCATCTCAAAGCACATGGCCATCCTGGGTGCACTTTTTTGAGAACAAGCCGCTTGTAAATCAGTTTCATAAGACAGAGCTTTCCAAGGGAAAATGCCTATAAAATTGCAGGTTCTATAAAAAAATGCACTTTATAAAGGTTAAAGTGAAGCTCTTTTCAGATGCAATCTGCATAGGGTATTGTCAAGAATTGAATTCATCAACCATGAATGAAGAAGAGATTGAGATATTGTGTTTGAGGGCTTCTGTAACTCTAGATACAATTAAAACACCTGCCTTAACAATGTCCTACTTGCAATTCAAATGTTATTACGATTGAGAAAATACAGCAACTTGTTTATTTTTCATCATCATTTACTGATAAACAGGGGCCTAATTTGTTGTCTGTGTGTTAAGGACCTCTGACACACATAACAGTCCGTCACACATAACAGACTCTAGTTTAATGTTAAGTTAAATGCATTCATCGGTCAATCCACATCTTTAGGGAGCTCTACCTCAATGGCAATGAGCTGCAGTGTGGGGGTGCCATTGAGCTGCTGAAACCTGTGGCTGAAAACAGCCAAAAACTGGCAGAGATCCAAAACAGGACCACATCCATCACAGGTGTGTATGTGAGTTTGTCTGCTCTCACCTAATTCATTCTATCAATAGTAAGACTGCTGAATTAATTGTGCCTCAGCGAGTTGTTTTATCCCCAGGGACTTGTTTTATCCTAAAAAGTCAATATAAGACGTCTCTCTTAAGGCTTTTCTGTTTTTCTAAACCTAATACAACCTCAGAGTTCTGTATGGTATACAGTTGTGTATGAGTGGGATACATACATGCAGTGTGTAATGTTATGGAATGGAATGTGTCAAGAGACTAAATTATGAAAATGATCATCTCATCGTTTTTTTTCCAACACTTACCGGGAGACATTAAAGGGTGTAATGTAACCTCATTTTGTGCAAAGTGATGTCATTCAAGCATTTCTTTCTTTTAGATGAAACAGAGTTGATCTCCCAAAGGAGCAATTCCACATCTTCCAGACAAAAGAAAGCAAAGAGCAAAGGTACCACTAATTTTCCGAACTACTGAGTGCATGTGCTTATTCACACAGTTATTGCTATAATCACTTGGAGCTCTTATGGGCTCTTGGTGTCCCTCTTGTTAAACACACTTGCACAAAACCTCCTTTGAAACTACCTGAGCAAATATACTTGCTTAGGACTCCTATTACAGCACCTTGACAACACAGCACATCCACAGAGACAATGTGGAGGAGAAACAGGAAATATCATAGGGTCACAGAGGGCTGTGTAGGACACACGTGTATGCAGTCACATGTACTGTACCTACTGCGCGCCGATATACACACATATACAACAAACTCATTTAAACAAAGTAAGTTATTTTGTGTTATATTATGCATAGATTTGTGGATTTCTTTCCCATTTGTGTCTCATGACTTACTATTTACATAGTAATCGGGTTTCCCAAAGAGGGTTTGTGAGATGAAGAGAAGCTAATAAATAATTGAATCAATTGTAGCATTAAAATGAACAAATGGGGGTGCTTAATCAATTTAAATAAAATGGATTCACGATTATCAAATCAAAAGCTGCAATTTAATGAAAAAGTATATAGTCATTTCAGCTGCACTGCGTGTTAGAGTATAGAGCAGCACTGTGTTCATTTACAATATGATTTTTTTGGTCACCCTAGTGAAAAATAAATATACTAAAATGTATTTAAAATACATTTTTTTCTTGCTAAGTATACTAATACATTTACATATTTATGTGCTTAATAAAAAATACCCTACAGTTGTACGTTTGCTATACTAAACGGTTATACTTGAAGTCTACTAAATTGGAACAACTAATTTTATACTTAATGCACTTTAATTGTGAAGAAGCAGTGCTGAACTCCAACTAAAGATATACTGAAGTATATTTGATTGTGCTAAAGTGGAACTATTGCAAGTATACTTTAGGTACACTTTAAATATCTTGCATTTAAAGTCTGATATCATTCAAAGATCATACAATAAACACCAATAGAGACAATAAAACACATTTTAGGCTTAATATTAGAAAATGTGCACAATGCAGTAGTACTCCAAACAAAGTTTAATGATAATTTTTGTATCAGTAAGTCTCAAGTGATATGTCAGTAAATATGTAGATTTGAACTATAC